AAAAAAAAAAAAAAAAAAAATTTATTTGATTGTGTTTGTTTAGTACTAAATTATTGTAACGTATTTAAAATTATATTTAGTTGGGGTTAGGCTAAAATAAATTGCTCTTGCTTTAATAAGGTTAGGTAAGTTTTTAAGTTCTTTTGGTGCAATATTAAAATTTTTACATTAACATTAATGAAAAAAATATATCTTTAGACGTATAAGAGAAAATTTCAGAAGGACATAATTTTAAATGAGTTCTTTACAAAATTTGACCAGTTTTACATATTCGGCACGACATATATATATGTAATTATATATATATATATATTTATTATAATATATATATATATTTTATATATATATATATATATATATATATATATATATATATATATATATATATATTATATATATAAAAGTCCTTGTGTATCTTACAGAGAATTGGTGCTCATGAAATGCTAAATAAACCGCAAACATCCAAGTAAAACAAAAAAAAATTGTCTCAGAAATTATCGGTGTAGCTAAGAAAATAAAATTATACCACAAAGAAGAAACACGAGAAATCTGGAGAAATAAAAAAATGCATATGCAAAATCCCAGTCATAAACTTCCACTGCTAGACCTAAAAGTGTAGTCGTGAAGTATGAAATAATGTTCATCAGTGCTATCAGTGACACGAGAGTCAATGACTGTTAGCTTCTTTGTTAACTCGGCCAACCCACCAAGTTATAGCTGACAATAACGCTAATTTTAAAGGCTTCGAAGGAGGAATTCTTCGAGAGAGGAATTCTTGATCCAAGAAATTGAACTTGGCTTTTCCCTCCTTCCTCTGGAAGAGCTTAGATTCTGAGAACATTCCAGAGGACTTAAAACTTGCAGAAACAGCCCCTCTTCTTAAATAGAGAAACAGAGTAAAGGCGTCGTAAGTCTTGGAAAGGATGTTAAGCTAAGACCCAACTTACTGATTTTTGGTTAGTATGAACTACTCATTCTAAATCAGCATGGTTTTACAGCAGGAAAATCCTACTTTTCATAACTAAATGGAGCATGTCCGGAGGTTTTTATGGGGGTCAACACCCCCACAGTCCTCGACCAGGTTTCCCGGTGGATCAGAACAAATTAACCAGGCTGTTACTGCTGGCTACACGTAATCTAATATACGAGCCACAACCCGACTGACTGGGAACTGATTTTATGTATGTGTCCAGTTCCCTCTCGAAGACTGCCAGGGGACCATTGGTATCCCCTTTATGTAAGACAGGCGGCTCTTGAACAGTCTAGGCTAGGGATCCTTATTGTGTTTTCTCTTAATGTACTCTTGGTACCCCTGCTTTTCATTTGGAGGTATGTTGCACCGACGGCTTAGCCTTTTGTGTTCATAATGAGTGATTTCAGTGTGCAGATTTTGGACCAATCCCTAGGATTTTCCAGGTGTTGATTATGATGTATCATCCTCGCCTGTATTCCAGGGATCCAGAGAGTACAGGTCAAGGGACTTCAAACGTTCCGGTAATTTAGGTGTTTCACTGAACTAATACGTCCAGTGAAGTTCACTGTACATTCTCTAGATCTGGGATTTCGCCTGCCTTGAGTGAGGCTATTAGTGTACAGCAGTTTTCCAGCCAAGAGAGAACAAGTGACTTAAGGAGTTTCATCAAAGCCATGGCATCCCTTATTTTCGAAAGCTCCCATTATTCGTTCCATAAATTTTCTCGCAGATATAATGATAACAATGTTGTGATACTTGAAGGTGAGATATTCTGACATTATCACTCTCAGGTTTATTTCAACACTATAA